TTTTTTTTTTTTTTTTATTCAGTGCTGAATGTACCAAGGCATGGGGCTAGGAATTACGAGTGATTCAAGTTAGGGTTCATGGCCTCAAGGAAGTCAAGTCTAATTGAAGAAACAGGCTAACATTTATTGAGCTCTTTAGGATCCCAAGCACTGTTATAAATTTACTCAGCACCTTTGAGGTAGGTACCATCATTATTTACACTCAAGGAAACTAAGGCACAGAAAAGTTAGAGAATTTGCCAAAAGTTCACAAAGCTAGGAAGGGTACAGTTGGGACTTACCCTGAGCTGTCTGGGCATAAGCCCATGCTTTTAACCACTTCGCCATCCTGTCTCCTGAGGTTCATAAAACAGACATGGAGAGAATGGTAGTGTCAATGGTCAAGAAGAGACTACAAGTGACAGGTTCTGACAGCAACAGCTACAGGAAAGCGTTCAGAGCAGGAGGAAGGTGGTATGTGCTACAGGGACCAGGGGAGATGGGATGGAGGGGGAGGGATCCAGGCACTGAGGGTTCTGGGAAAGAGTGACAGAATGAAGATGGTGGAAGGAGAATCACGTAAAGTGGAGACTATCAGGAAAAGGGTCTCTCGGGAGTTGAGGGTTTGTAAGAGAATGAGCACCAGAATAAGGCAGGAGCAGCACCATCTTAGGAAGGTAAAGGTGGCAAAAGGTGGAGAGATGGACCAAAGTGGGAAGAGACTGGTGTCAGGAATATTCTATCCTTTCCCTTGGAAAAAGTCACCTATCTTCCTGGGCCCACCAGGTAACAAGAAAAAAACTCTCCCTTTTTGTCCACTCAGCAAAGGGAAAGAAGATTCTCCATCCTGGGCAGAGAATTATATCCCATTTCCTCCTTTACGGTGTTGTGCGCCTAGCATGTCATAGAAATTTACAAGCATGACCCTTGGCAGAGACAATAGTTCTAAATCTGCAAAATCCTATGAAGGGCTAACTTGCCCGTATTCTGAGAGTACATTTTTCATTCAAGCAAGCACAGAATTAATTTTTTTTTTTTAAACTAAGAAGTGAGATTTAAAGCAAAAAATTGAAAATCAGTATTAAGGCAACTCTGAAATGGTGACTAAAATTTGTATCCCTAAAATGGTCCAGCAGACATGCTTTCATTTATCTTCCATCCCTAAGTTCACAGAACCTAAAGTGCTTAAGACAGAGAAGTTCCTCTCTGGAGATTTCTAAGGCTAATGTTGTCTTCAAGGGCAGAAGGCCCATGCTGAGCAGACCCCAGCGCCTCTCCAGCCTCACCGTCCCTCCATCCTCCTCCTGGCTCATTCCACCTCAGCCCAGTGCCCTCCTCATTGGTCCTCACACCTGCTCAGCTCACTCTCACCTCAGGGGCTGTGTACTTGCTGCTATTTTCGTCACTTGTTCCCTAGGTATCCTCAGGGCTCGCCTGTTACATCCCTCAGGTCTTGCAGTGTCCTTGAATTTTTTTCACCCTTCTCAGGCTGTCATAAATGAAACCATGCTTCCCCAGTACAGGTTCTGCTCTATCCCCTTTACTCTGCTTTGTTTTCTTTACAGTCCATGATGTATAACTTGCATTTGATTCCTGTCTGTACTTTCCCTGCCTAGCCCTAAAGTTAAGCTCCATACAAATAAAAAGGTGTTTTTTTTTTTTTTTAAAAGCTTATTTTGCTCCAGTGTACAAAATAATGTCTAGCACACAGTCAACACTCAATAAACATCTGAATGAATGCAGGAACGTGAACTTCTATAACTTCTGCAGGAAGACAATGTCCCTCCATAGAGATGGGTTAGGTTCTCCTCTCCAACGTCCATCATCCCTCTTTAGGAGCCGTGATCCTGGAACCCCTGGGGGCTCACCTCTGAGTCTTAGCTGGCATAAAGAAGCTCTGCTCTGCACCTTTCAAAACATTCCATTGTGAAAGGTCTCCCTCACGATCAGATCTCTCCACTTCTTTTTTGGGGAAAAAATAAACTCAAATCCAAAATCTTTATATCAGAAGTACCCAAGGTAACCAACTTGTGGCTGGTGGTTCCATTGCTGATGACATGATGCAACATGTAATTCCAGCTCCCACGAGTCTGAGTGCTCAGGGCCTGGGGACCTGCTATTCATGCCTCACATGCTCAGAGCCAGGCACCTGGCTGTGGCTGCTCTTCCTCATCTACCACCACCCTGCACCAAGCCAGGCCTCGCTCTGGCCCCAGCAAGCAACCTTCAGAGCCAATTCTGGATAATAAGCTATCGCCTCTTCGGGCAAGGCAGCCCTGGGAGCCACACCTCTCTTTCATCAGGGACACCAAACAGTGTGGCTGAACAAAGCAGCCAGCACAGGGATCACTGATAGCTCTAAAAAGAACAGCACCCGCAGATCCCCGAGATGAGAAGGGAAGACAGCTAAAGGCCTACGTGTGGACTGCACTGGGAAGAGCCCAGAACAGAGCCCTTTAGTATAAAACGACACAGTCTGACTTAGGGTTGTCGGTACTGCCCTGAGCTCTGTGGACACAGAGATAATTTCCTGTCCCTGTCCCACCA